GCAATTCTGTTTACAGAGACTTACTTCATAATCCATTTTATTTATGGCTTCTGTTGGATGTAGTTTTTATTTTTGTTTTAGATTGTTATCGTTTGGTTATTTCGGATATTTTACATATCTTCCAGTTGCAGTGAACTTTTCAAAATTGAGTGAACTTGCATTAGTATTTTTGAAAATGGTCTCAAAACAACATTATTGTTTATAGCAATAAATGGGACAATTTATACACTAAAATCTGTTATGACAGGCCTATCAAACTGTAGCGCTGTGCAAAAATTAAACTTTTTTTTTTTTTTTTTTTTCAAATTTCCAGAGACTCCAAAAGTCCAAAAAACTAAACAGTACTACAGATGGAAGCTATAGAAATCGTTTTATTGAAATGACTGGACAATATGGTCAGATTAAGATTTTTTCATGATTCATATTCCCAGTTACAGTGAAATGGAAAAGTGCTTCCACAAAACTCCTACGTTTTATGTTATTTTAAAAAGTAAACAGAAATAAAACTGTTCTTTTCTTCTGTAGATATGTCCTCAAAAATAAGTTAATAATAATCAATTTTACCTGATGGAACCTTTCAAAGCACTTGAGGTCACCGAACAAAAACAGAAACAATAAAGGAAATAAAAAATAAAAAAATAAAATAAAATAAGTTGTTCCTCCCCCTCCCCCCATCAGGTTTTCAGCACTGAGGGCAAAAGCAGCTCTTTGGATCAGAAACGTTACAGACAACTGGTCTTATTCAAACACAGCATTTTGTGGGCTAAAATACCATTTTTGTCAGCAGAGTTTTACCACAACATCTGACACACAGCAACACACTCCACCCACAAAGCTGTAAGCAGAGCTTCGCAAAGGACTCATTGATTTGACTACATTTACAGTGGAGTGAAAGGAAATTGATTTTTTTTTTTTTTTTATCAAATACAAACCTGAGAAGTTTGGGAAAGAAGCCCACATGTGTGTAAATTAATCTGAGAATGAGACAGGTAAGCTGTCAGAGAATCTGTCAAACGGGTCAGGAACGTCACTGAAACTAAACATTATTCTGACAACCTGATTTTAAAAAGTCAGTCTGCTGATTTTTCATCCAAGCCGTTTTCATACAATATTAGAAAATGCATTTAAAAAATTTCAAATAAGCAAATTAAATCTATTCTTATATAAGAAAAAAAACATTTTTGCTTCAAATAAAGAATGAATCTGCAGCTAAAAAAAGATACTTCTAGCATCAACATGAAAAGCGAAGATAAAACTTTGCCAACCGAGGATAAAACATTTTTTTTATCAAGTGTTTTATTATTATTTTTAAATGCAAAATGTAGATATGTTTGTACAGTTTTGGCTTAGTTACAGCTCTGAGTGTGTTCTTTCAGTAAATTGCCTTTTTTCAGTCCGTGTACTCCGGTTAACAATTTATCAATTACTAAATCAGCTGACGAGCGTTTAAAAAAAAATCTGTTCATTGCGATTCATCTGACTAATTGCCTCAGCATATTTAAGGGTTAGAATGACCAAGACCTAAATCTGATTTAGAGTCTCGCAATACAGCCAAACAGCTATCTAAAAGGAGCGGCATAAGCAAGCGAGGCGGATCAGCACCAATGACGTCACCCAGACCATGCCACTCCGGAAATCCTGTCTGCACAGGCACACTGTCACAGTAGTCTTTAGTCAGAGGCTTCTACAGATGCATTGCAACAATGACTGCTACTGAAGATCCTTCCTGACTCCCGCGTCGCCATCCACAACTACTCAAATTCAATTCAAAAATATTTAAATCAGATGAATATACTTTGATGATATAAAGCTACAACTGCATTTCATTTCCCTTTGGGATAAATAAAAGGATTTTTTTTTTTTACATTTAATTTACATTTGTTAGTCCTGTAGAGTTGCCAAAAACACTTCAAGTCTTAACAGCAGTAATGCCACACTTTTAAAGACTTGTTTGTAAAAATTGTTGATAATCATGTTTGTTTCTTTTTGCTTCACACTTATGGACTTCTGTGTGTTGTATCATTATATTACATACATTGAAGTTTTTAGCTACAGTGCAAAAGCAAATTTTTTGTTATGTTTGAAAATGTAGCCAAAATATTATTTATATAATCTATCAGGATAATAATGTCACCCCTGAAACTTTATAAAATAAAAATACTGATCATGGTTCATGAACTGCAGGGAAATAAAAAAAAACTTACTACATCCGAAAGAAATCTAGAATCACAGGAAAATCTTCTTCTGGAGGAGTTTCTTCTTTACTTAGATTACTGTTAATTAATGACAAAATGCTAAAAGAAGTGTTTATATATATATATATATATATATAGTATAGAATACGCAACTAAAGGCGTGACGTGCGTTATGGTACGTCACAACAAAAATACGTGACAGTTGACTTCCACTACTAGACTAACTCTGACTCTTTAAAAACAGGTTGTCTTAAGCCTCAGATTTAAAAAAAAAAAAAAAAAAGAAAACAAAGAAAGAAAGAAATAGTCAGGTACGCCAAGAGCGAGATATTATGCAAGCAAATATTTCGCCACATTTACAGACTCCTCAAAGCGAATACGAGATTTGCTCGGTTTCAGATTAACCACTGCGTTTAGAGATGTGAACAGGCAAATAAACTATATTAAGTTTGGACTGCGTCTTAAAGAGACAGAGGCAGAGTGGCAGCATCGACGCAAAGCTCCAGCAATTAGGCCGAGCCCATCCTGTGCGGTTCGCGGGTGAAATATCGAAGTTTCAGATCCGGGCTAATAAGCAAGGTCTACTCAATTAGGTTAAGCTAAAAATACTTACCTGGATACAGTACGGACAGTAGCTTTTGCTGAAGACCACCACTTGGTTAGAGTCAATAAGCTTCTGTATCTTAGTTTTGAGTTCATTTTTGCCTGTGTCTTTTTCGATGGGAGGCATTTTCCAGCTATTTCCGTCTGCTTGCGCAAAGCAAGCTCCGGTAGACGGATTCCAAAAATAATAAACTAAATGCTAACTATCTGCATCAGTTACTTCTCCGTTCTAATAACGCCCCTAAAGTCTATAAGGGGCGACAAAACACCAGACACAGGAGGACAGTAAATCTGCCCTCAATTCTGGTCGCTGCTCTGAAAGCAGGTAGTAGTCTATCATCCGCGCCAACAGTCTCCAGTATTTTCTTGTCTAAGTCCTATGGGTGCGCTTGTTATGTGTTACAATGTTCACCGTGCGGTTCATAGTGAACTGTAGGGAACTGGAACAACCCCGCCCACGGACCAAATTGTGTGATACAAAACGAAGGTACTATGAGATACGTCACAGCGTCGCACATTAACACACGCCCATGTAGGAACAAATTACTCAACTGATACGTTAAAGTGAGAATACCATGGAAATAAACTCAATTATGTAAAGAAATATAAAACCTTACTAGTTAGGAGAGCCATATGAAGATAAAGATAAAATATCCCAACTTTATAAAAGTACCGTAAAAAAGCAAAAAAGCGAAGCTGTAAACTTTATTTTGTTATTAACTAATATTGTTTAGGGTAAGAAAGACATCATCACCAGAGATGACCAACGCTAATGGCACTTTAGCACTACTTGTCTCAATCGACGATCTCCTCGAAATAGTGGAGTCTTTCGCCACCTGCTGGTTAAAACACGCTAAAACAAAAATTGTATACTGCAACAATTACTTCATTTCTGGCCAAGAGCCAAAAATATTGACTTTCAAGCTTTCTTTCAATAATGTGAAACTGGGTAAAGGCTTCATTTTATTCTGTGTTGTTGGTATTGGTGTATTTAGATGGAGGTTTGTGTGGAGGTTTGAAGGAACATTAGTGGTAGTTCATTACACTGAACTTATTACAAAAATGAGCCATAAGAGTTAGCACTAATAAAATGCTCTCACTCAGAGCTCTGATGAGGAGGAGAAGAGGGGAAAGGGTGTGGCAAAACAGCTGACATTGATTCAACATTGATCAGATGTTGATCAGACATCGGCATTTCAGTCATTAGATTTCAACCACAAAACAACATTGATTCAATGACACAGTTTCAACGGTTTGATTGGATGGTTGTTTGATGGTCGATCCACCATCATTTGTCGACTTCATCCAAAAATTAACGATTCTAACTATAATTCAATGTTGATTTAACGTCGTGTGCTATCTGGGATCTGACGGAGTTGACGAAATGCCAAACTACCTCAATTTATATGTTATTCTGAAGGAGGCCATATTGTAGCTCATCAGCTCCATTAAATATTTACAGTATACTAAAATTAAGCATTTATTTCACAAAATGTCATCAAAGTTTTGTAAATTGTCAGTCATGGTGTTGACACATCATGGCTGTGACGAGCAATTTAGGAATAAAACAGAAGAAAAGAACTAAAGAATAACATAAGCTAACCAGAGCTGCCTATCCCTCTTACGAAAGGAAGAGGTCATGGGGTCCTCAGAAGTTCTGATCCCCCCAATAATGCCTGATTTTTTTTACATTCTTTTTATGTCTGACGTTGTTGACAAAAACTATGGACAAATTTCAATAGAGTTGGAAAATATATAAAAATGATTTTTAATTCAATTTACTGATACTTTTATAATTATTTATATGAATACTTATACTTAATTGTCATAATATATTATTTTAGTATTTCTTTAATTGTTTTAAACTATTATAATGTGTTGAGTTCTGCTCCTGGACAAGGGATTTTACAGGCATCATCCACCGACTACAATGTTTAAATTAAAAAAAATATTCAGCAAACACAAGAAAAATATACATTGTTGTGCTCACATGACCCAGGTTAGTTTAGTCAGATATTTGAAAAAATATATATTTTGTGTATATTTTATTCAAATTTTGTGCTTTATCCATAGGACCTGTTTTGTCCCTATTCTCAAGAATCATTATCTCCACCCATTCTAAAGCTAAACCTGCGTCACGCTGCTAAATCAGAACCGCGTCAGTAGAGGAACGTCAATTACTGCCGTCGCCTCCAGGTGAGTGGTGCTGTTACCAGAAGAAAAGGCCCCACGGGTGGGAAAAGTTTCTCAACAACGACAGTAATGTTTCTGGGACAAATCAGGACTCGCAGAACGGGCCTACAAGTTCGAACAAGACGTGGAGAGAGCCTCTGGTGTTGTTGATGATGATGAAGATGATGTCAGAATGACTCCTCTACCGCTGAGCAGGTCCTGATCTCTGCTGTGTTTATTTCGTAAGTGTGTCTTGTTGCTCCACCTCCCAGCGCCTTGAGCGGAGCCCGCAGTCGAGTCGCACTGAGGAAGCGGCAGACGTGAGGAGAACTGAGCCGAGAACTGAGCTGAGAGATGGCCGAGAATAAAGTGGGTCCGAACCTCCAGGCTGGAGCTGGATTCCTCGCCAAGCGGGTCCAGAAGTCCTTTAGTAGAGCACAGGAGAAGGTAAACTGAGACCGGTTGCTTTTTTTTTCTTTTGTGTGTCTCCATTTATTCTCATAAATAGGCGTTAAACTCCGTCATTAAGCAGTCTACTGGAGAATATCTCTACCAGGTCTCTTGAATCTTGTTGGGATGCAGAACTTCTCTAGAACTGTAGCTCTGGACGCGCCCTCCCAGGCAGGGCATGCTGCAGCTGCCGTTATTTCACTCTAGATGACTCGGATTAAAGCATGCAGAATCTCATCATGGATGTTATCTGTTCCTCCAGAGAAAAGACCAAACTTAATCTTCTCAGAGTTCAACCTATGAAAATCCTAACTTGCTCACTTTCAGCTGTTCAAAAAGAAAACTAGTTTGCTCTGTTCTGTGTTGTGAAGGTAGAAGCTATTCCACTGTGCGGACATACAAAAGTTGCCACTTCCTGACTGTTCACTTCCTCTTGTTGCTGTCTTTCTCACTCAGTTTGTGGTTGACTGGTTTGATTTTTGGTGCTCCACCTCTATAGAAAAACAACAATGTTGCGTACTATAAATGAGAGGCTTCGGTGAGGGATTATGTGGTATATATATCCAGACAGACAAACGAAATGGGGGCGGAGGGGAATTCAGAAGTTTTGTTTTACATGTTAAGCTGAAAACCAGCTGCATTCAGTGGAAGGTAAAGGCCACATTTATCTTGTTTGGCTAAGAATTTTCTGCATGTTTGAGTATCAGTGTGTCAGGATAAGCAGGGCTGGACCAACTTATCTACTACCTTATTAATAGCTGGGCTGGAATTTTATATCTGCTGATAAATTAGGTCAATATTTGCCATAAAATAAATATCAGCCATTTGCTACTATAAAAAAACCAGACAATATGTGAGCGGCTGCTAAAGGTCAGTAAGTGGGGTTCCGCTCTTTGTGTTGCTTTTGGAACAATGAGTCTGGACAGCAATGGAGAGACGCTGCCCAGGATCCACTGAAATCCTTAAAAACTGGAAACCAGTAGATGAGCCGGAACTTATCTTCAAAAATGTTACGTTAAACTTCACAAGTTGGCAAAGACCAACAATAAAAAGAATATATGATCTGTTTGATAATTGAAACTTGAATTGATCTATTATATAGTTTTATTAAAGTGTGATTAATTGCAATTAATGAAGTACAGCCCCTAAAATGAACTAGAGTCCCACCTCTACTACAAATACCTGGAGATCAGACGTTGTATTCCTAAGAGAAAGCCGCTTCCTTGAACCTCTCAGAAGAATCTCACCTGATGGAAAAGCGTTTTTTGTTGTTGTTTTTTTCTGAACCACAGAGAGCACAAACACTTTATCAAAGTTTTACACTGAGATGTAAAATTTGAATGTGCAAGGTTAAGGAAATCCTGATTTAATGACATTGCAATGATCTAAATAACAGTAACCTGACTTTCCTATTTGAAGTGTATTTGGCTAAAAAGTAAGAAGCCTGTTTTAGGATTTCTGATGCTAAATGCCATAATGTACCAAAGCTTAACATTATTAGTGAATTTATTGAAAAATCAGAGGCTATAAAAAGTCTTTGCCTTAAATGCCCTCCTGTCACTGGTCAACTTTAAAGGTTTAAGAATAGATACAGTTCTGCACTTTGTCCTACTTTTCTTCACATTCTAGACAAAATGTTAATTTTGCAGCTTTATAACTGTATCATATATTAATCATTTAAATGTCCAATTGTTTCCCAGGTTCTTCAGAAACTGGGCAAAACCATGGAGACCAAAGATGAACAGTTTGAGCTCTGCTTCCAGAACCTCAACAAACAGCAGGTACTGCCACACCTCTGGCCAATCAGAATCTGCTGCTGCTTCCAGTGTGTTCTTCAATAGTTCAGCGGCACGTCTTACAGCCTCCTCACAAACAGTCTTCTTGCGATTAGCGATCCATGGGGACTAAACAATCAGTATTTTGTTTCTGATGTTGCAATGGAGCCAACACACAAGTTCAGACAATCAGCTTGGCCTTGATTTGAGGATCTGGAACATATTCAAGAACTTTTTTCTTCTCATCTCATTTTGCTTAGTTTCAGTTCTCTGTAGCAGAAGTGTGAATAGGTTACTATCATTTAGAAAGCAACAGCTTTTTTGTTTTCTGCAGATTCAGATCAATTCTTGAAGAGGAATCTTTTGGTATGCTAGACAAAAATAATTGAACACCCCACTTGTTATTACTGCAGCCTTGTTTAGGTGGTCTAGCTTTAGCTTTTTAGTTCATGTTAGCCAAATGATCCTGTCGAATTACTGACCAAGTTTACTCACTTTATTACATATTGAGGAGAAAAAAAACAAATCGAAGTTTATTTGTATAGCACATTTCAGCAATGTGGCAGTTCAAGGTACTATATTTAGTCTTGATTTAAAGGAACTCAGTGTTTCGGCTGTTGTGCAGTTTTCTTGAAGTTTGTTCTAGATTTGTGGTAGATAGAAGCTGAATGCTGCTTCTCCATTAAACACAACTTGGCACCTTTCTTGTATAACATTGGTAACGCAGATAGACAAGGATGTGCAGGGTTTCCCTCAGTGTATTATAAGCCTGGTGGGCCACCAGGCTTTACTTGTGCCCACACTAGGCTAAGCATTTCTTTTTTTTTTTTATTTTTTACTTTATTTATGTTTGCATTTTTTAAGACTTCACAGTTGGTGTTCAGATATTAATCTTCAAATCCTTCAATAATAACTATCAAGTGATATTTTAAATTTTTTTGTCAACTTTAAACATTTTTAACCGTTGGCACTAGCGCCCAACCACCAGGTTTAACAAGTTTTCTGGAGGAAACTTTGATGTGATGTGAGATCATGTTGAGTGGCATTTTTTGTTTAAACAAATGCAAAAAGCTATGATCCAGTTTTATTCCAAGGCTGTTAGGTTAAGCTGTGCAACTGAATGTACTCTATAGAGTTACTGTCAGGGATTAGCAGCACAAAGTATCTATAACCAAGGACTACAACAATTTATGTAGTCTTACCAGGCAGTTTGTTGAATTCATCAAAAGACATAACAACTCGGTGCGTTCAGGTATCGAGAAGGGGTAATGACAACAGGTTCAAACAGAGCAAGAAAGAGAACTTAAAGCTGCAGTATGTAGCTTTTATAAAACATGTTTTTTTTGTTTTATTTATTTATTTAATTTCTTTTACATATTTGTTAAAACTGTCACCATGTCATGACAGTAAGACATAAGACGGTCTGTGAAAAGATCAGTCTCCTCCACCTCCTCTCTTGAGCCACTATTGCCGTTTGAAGAAATGCACAGCTCTGACCAAGGACAACCAATCAAAGCCAGAAGGAGGGGCTTAGTGCTGTCAATCATCCTTGTGTCCTTGCTGTTCAATGTGTTAATGGAAGAGAAACAACTTACTGCTACAGGATAGCCGTTTATCTGCTGTCATCAGTGGCCAACTAGCTTCAGCATTCATGACAGGCTCTGCTATCAGGAAGAAGCTGTAGCATACAAATTAGGGGAGGGGCAGGATGGGATGAACAGGCTTGATTGGCAGCACTAAGACCCGCCTCCTAGCTCTGACTGGTTGTTTCTAGTTAGCACTGGAAGAAGGTAAAGGAGCAAAAACAATTTCACATTTCATCTGTGTCATACCAAACTGTCACCACATAGTGACAGTTTTAACAAATGTATAAAAAGAAAAACTTTTTTAAAGTTACATACTGCAGCTTTAAGTGATGATGAATAACTGTTGTCAGATGAACTGGTCTAAGTAGCTCAGAAACTGCTGGTCTGCTGGGAATCTCATGGACAAACATAAATACTTAGTGAGGAGGAGTAAATGCTTTGATGATGTCATAGAATACACAAAGTGGTTTGAGATAATATAAAGTCTGCAGTGGGTCAAATAACAACCAAAAAATGCAGAATGTGCAGACATGACCTGGTCGGCCGGTTTGTCAGTCAAACCTCTCACAGGAAAAAAGAAAAGCACAGTGGTTGATTTTTAGACCTTTGCAGAGATTAACATCAGTGGATAAGATCGGCTTCACATGTAAAAATCAGCCGATCACCGATCTCCCAAAATGAAGGAAATCTGCACCGATAAATCGGTGCACCCCTGCTCCTGCCTCCTATAAAACAAGCTGAACTAATTGAGAAATAAGTTATATATTATTATATAAATCGACCTGACACTAATTTAGCAGATGTACAAATTGCATGGATGGATGATTTTAATTTGACTATTATTAATAATAACAACTAATATTTAAAAGCAGCGTAGGTAACCTAAATGCAGTTCAATTTCTTTTTATTCAAATTGAATCATAAAGTGTTTTAGTATAATTTTCTGAGGTAAATGAAGCAAGTTAAAGTGTATTTTAAGTTCCTAAGGTTTTATATAAATTATTCTGTCCTTTGTTGTATTTGCTGTTATTGATTTTCTTGTCTGTATGGCCGCCAATACAATCCTCTAATGAGCATTTTTCATCTGTAATAAAACAATTTACCAAATTTATTTGAATATAAACCTCTGCAGTCCTTTATTTTCAAAAATTGAAACAAAAAATAACTCTGTTCAAGGCTACTTGTATTGATTTCCATGGGTAGGTTACCACTCATAATATGCAGGAGGCTCTTATTTGTTATTTTTATGTGACCGTGAAGCTCTGACATCTGTTCATCTGTGTCTGTTACTCTATTTGAGCTACTTTAACCATTAGCTTGTTGGCTAATGCTAGCAAAGTGGTCTCTGCTTACACCTGCTGACAAGCTTAACTTTTTTCACCTTTCTCTTGCTGCTAACTGTTGCGTTTGGTGTATTCTCCAGTTGCCCCTTTTAGCTAGGCTCTGTTTTGTTAGTACCTGTTTAATTTTTATATTTCTGAGAGATAACAAGTAAAAGTCTGTTGTAAAAGAAAAGTGTCGAAGAGCAACAGGAAGAAAGTTCACAGAGTGACTTGCTTGCTGCTTTCACTTCATTATCTCAACTGTTACAACTATTTAAAGAGTAACTGCTATGATTTACCCTCAACCCAGTGTTTACATCCCTGCTACTGTTTCTTCAGGGGTTTTTTGCTTTTCTCATTTCTATGCAGAAACCTATGTGTATTTTTAAATTATCCTGATCAGTTGCTCATTTCTTTAAATCTGATAATGATTTATTTGAAAACTGTACTGTTCTTATATTTTTCCTACATTGGACATTTTCCCAAATTACACAGTCTCGTAACCTTGTTTTCTATTTTTTCAGCTTTGTGTTAATATGCATGCTTGTAATTGTCACTGCCACTGTGCCTCATTTCTGCTTAAAAATAAAAAACAACGGTTTGGAGTGAATACTGTGGATAAAACAGGAAATGTTACACCACCAGTTTGGCAATATTTTAGGTATTTGGGGGAAAAATATTATCTATCGACAATTATTGATATCGCTGAAGTCTTTAAGAAACTATGTCTCCTACAGTAGCAATTACCTAAAAGTAAGTAAATTATTCAGTAAAAAAGAGGAATTTGTTTGGTCCTCTCTTGCACGTTGACAGAACCGACAGAAATCAAACTGCTTAGAGATACAGATGAATACATATTTTATGTATCAAAACATTTGTAATTTATTCAGTTGTAATTTATGCCATATTTTTATAGATGTCAGATTTAAAAAAGAGGGTCCCACCGATTCCAGCTCATCCCACATTAAAATGGTACGAGTCGTTTTGTGGACATGACTGGATGCATAGTAATGGTGCCTGCAGGAGAGCTAGCTTCTGCTAGCACGTCACTAGCTACAGCGGCTAGTATGCATAAGAATTTTCTACGACGGCTTGCTATGGCCAATGTAGATAAGGGGGGGAATGGTAGTAAACATGGCAATAAAACCTCAGAAATTTTATAGAACAAACTTGGACATTCTCAGAACTCAAAAAGTTGAACATCTGCAAGAAAAAACTTTCAGATTAATTTCAGAAATGTTCTAGGGGAAACATTGGAAATTTTCTGAGCTCAAAGTTGAAAATGTTTGACTTTTGAAACTTCTAAGTTGTTTTTTTTTCTACAACATTTCTGAGACTAACCTGAAAGTTTCAAAGCTTTTTCTTACAAGACCAGAGAATTCCAAGTTTTCTTCTAGAAAATGTCTCAAGTTTAATCTAAATGTTTTTTTGGTTTTTGTTTTTTTTTTTTTTTTTTGCAGAAATTTACTCCTTTTTTTTCTATCTACCATATGTTGTCATAATTTCCCAAGTGTCGGCCATAAAGGATACTTTCTGTTTGCTGATGGGAATAAGCTCCAAAAAGCAATGCAGAACACCTGAAACATAGTAGCAATAATGTGAGGTTGCCAAGGAAACTATGAAGCAAAAGTGTGACTTTGGTTAATTTCTTGGTTTTGTCTTGTTTTCCTCTGGCCACAGATCGACGGAACCAGGTTGTTTAAAGACGTGAAGGCGTACTATGCGGCGGTGAAAAGTGAGTTTACACACATTGCATGTGCTGCATTCAGGCTGGACGTTGGCCGATGCTAGTGAGGTGAAAAGAGAAGTGAATTTTATCTATTCCTAAATTCTGACGGCTTTCGCAATTCTGTCTGCGTTGCTGGGCTGCAGGACAGAAAAGCAAAAGCTCACTGTTTTAAAAAAAAATCAGCAGACGCAGCGCTGCATGTATGACTCATCCAGTCAGGAAACAACAAGCTGTTTAGCACAATGCCTTCTCAGGGCTCCGTACAGCTGAAGCTGAAACTGGTGGAATAGCAATAAGTTTTATAATGACTTTTCTAAGACCTGCAACGTTTTTCCACAGCTGTGCATGAAACATCCAAGCGACTGTCCCTGACCCTGAGAGAAGTGTATGAGTCAGACTGGGACGGTGTGGACGACCTTGCTGTCATTACAGAGGTGAGGTTTTTGTTCATTATGATATCTAATGTGAAATTGTGCAAAATGAAGTGGAATTGTTTAAATGTACTTATTTATAAAAAGAAGAAGAAGAATAGCATTTGCTCATAGACCTCCTTATTCTGCTACTCCTATATAAAATGAGGCAGGGTTTTCTCTCGGTGTATTATAAGCCTGGCGGGCCACCAGGCTTTACTTGTGCCCCCACCAGGCTAAGCATTGCTTATTTATTTAAGTCTTATAAAATGTTTGCATTTTTTAAGATGTTATAGTTGGTGTTCAGGTATTAATTGTCCAATCTTTCAATAACACATAGTTATCAAGTGATACTTTTAAATTTCCTGTCAACTTTAAGCATTTTTTGGTGACATTTTGTTTGATGAGGTGTGCATAAGACCCTCATGATGCCGTCATAAACACGACACATCTGTCATGAACATGACGGAGTCTTTATGAATGTCTCTGACTGTTGTCATGAAGTGTCGTTCGGTAAATAATGACACTTTTAATGCAAAGTTGCTTTAAAAGTTGCATTTTCAGTCCATTAAAAGTGCCAACTTTGTATTATTTTTTAAATAATGACACTTTAATGCAAAGTCGGCACTTTTAATAGACTTTCAATGCAACTTTTAAAGCAACTTTGCATTAAAAGTGTCATTATTTACCGAATGACACTTCATGACAACTGTCAGAGACATTCATAAAGACTTCTTTATGTTCATAACGGGTGCTGTCATGTTTATGACGGCGTCATGTTGGTCTTGTGAACACCTCGTCAAATAAGTGTTACCCATTTTTAGCTGAAAAACACAACAGGCCGCTAGATGAATGACTGACCTAAAGCCCAACCACTGGGCTTAGCACGTTTTCTGGGGGAAACCTGGTGATGCAATTCTGAAATTTGATAAATTTGTTTACAGTTTAAACTGAACATGTCACGTGTTGACATAAACAAAGGTTTTGAATGAGAAGGAAGAAAAAATATGGTCTAATCTACCCCTTCTCTCAAAATTCAGCTTGCTACACCACAATCAACTAAACATCAATTGACCATCCATACAGATACGACTTTAAAAATGAAACAGGCAACATTAACAAAACAGAACTTGCATCATGTAAGTCCACAAATGCAGCTCCCAGGTCAGTTTAAACCTGTGGATAAGTTTTAAAGCAGCAACGGAATATACAGCAGGACACATAATCCACAATATTTGGCCTTTATAAAAACATGGCAAGGAAAAAAAACATTTTCTAAAGAAAGCAGTGAGTCGCATTTTCAGTTTGTCTCAAGCTCTGAAGGAGAAACGGAAAACATCATCTGTGATCTGAGCAGATGAAACTAAAGTTTATCTTCTTGGCTGAATGTGGAAGATGAGACGCCATCTTGGATTCTGTCATGCTGCCCCCCTCACGAATCAAGTCCAGTTAGAAGCTGAAATACAACATGAATTTTTCACCATTTTTACATTTTATGAATTTATCTATGTTTGCTATATTGCAAGTTTTCAGGCTTTAAATTGACTTTTTTTAAATTCAAGATTGTTGTTTCTATACAATGATTCTTTTAATGTAGTTTTTTGGACTGACTGGCTCTTCTCCTGTGCTTCAGAGTGAGGACTTGCTATGGAACGACTTTGAGGAGAAAATAAGTGACCAGCTCGTCCGCACCATGGAGAACTACACCAGCCAGTTTCCTGAGGTCAAGGTAAGGGAAAAAAAAAAACTTTATTTATCCCAAAAGGAAATTAAATGTTGTCTTAAGTTTCTTCGGAGTCGTTGTGGACGGTGATTCTGTGGGGAGGAACGGCGTTCAGCAGCTGTGTTTCCGATACAGATGTGCCTGACCTATCTGTTTCAGATTTTCTAGACACTGTTTGTTTTCTCTACGGTTATAAATCTGACAGATATTAATGAATCAAAAATCTAATTGTTATGGAAAAAAAAACAAATGTTCAACATAGCATCTGCTGTTTGGTGCATTTGAGGACCAGAAATAGTGGGAATTCTCTGTATTGATGCATTTAATGAACTTGAAAAGGAAAAATTAGATTTCTACCTGGTTATGACGATTTGTAGTTGACCAATAGATATTGGTTAATTGTGTTGTTGCTGTATTTCTGTATGAAAATTGATATTCTACTAGAGAGGTGAGCAACCTGCGGTTCTTTGCTTTCAGTCGCTCTTAATAACTTTGACAAAAAGTCACAAAGAGCCAACTAATGTTTTTAAACATAGCTGTGTTCTTTAACCAACTTTTAAAATATTTCTAAAGTTTAGGGTTTAGTTTGTTTTCAGAATCAGAAATAAGCTTATAGGACAAAATTGTGTCCCCACCCAAAAAAATTTCCTTTGATTTTTGAGAGCTCACAATGTGCAGACACTAAGTATGTAAATAAACTTTAGAGAATATAAATTGGAGAATTTTAAAAAAAAGTTTACACAAATGCTGACATCCCATAGAAGAAAATATATCCATCCACTTTATTGGAAAAATGTTGTCTGTCTTTATTTTAAAATGTGAAAACAAAAATAAAAAGGTGTTGTGTTTTTTTAAGCATGAGAACAAGTTTTCTTCCATAAAAGTATTCATCAGAAAAGCAGCTGTTTTTCATATAACATTTGTGGCTCTAAACAAGTTTTATTTAGCTGGACAGAGGACAAAATGGCTCTTTCTATTCTACGTAATGCAGACCTCCGTTTTATCACTGGTTTTTTTTTTTCATTATTTTTTGTTAGCTCATCTTCTTTTTGTGGTCATTGTAATGAGCGTTTTTTTAATTTGCTTTTTTCAGGACCGGGTTGCGAAGCGGGGACGTAAACTGGTGGACTACGATTCAGCTCGTCACCACCTGGAAGCTCTGCAGAGCGCCAAGAAAAAGGACGAAGCCAAAATCACCAAGGTAACATAAATAAACGTGGTGGCTTAAAGCTGGGATTTCGCTTTTTTATTTTCCCAACGTTCTTTCTAATCCTGCTTATCAGGCAGAGGAGGAGTTCAACAAAGCGCAGACTGTCTTTGAGGAGATAAATAACGAGCTGCGGGAGGAGCTGCCTGTTCTCTACCAGAGGTATCAGCAGCAGTAACTCAACACAGACTCAGATTAGCTGGAATCTGTTTGGAAAAAAGAAAACTTTGTCTTATGGACGAAGTTCAAATTTGATGTGGTTTCTCTGTGTCTGCAGTCGAATCGGCTGCTACGTCACCGTGTTCCAGAACATCTCGAACCTGAGAGATGTCTTCTATAAGGAAATGAGCGTGGTAAGAATCCCACTCCTGCTGTGCGAACATGCAAAAAGACTCCAGAAGGTCCTCCTGTAATCACCTTGAGTTTCTTCTTTTTACAGCTAAACCGGGAACTTTACAATGTGATGAAGAAGCTGGAGACTCAGCACTCGGGCAAAAATTTCATCATCAAGGGTTTGAGTAGGTAGGGCAATGCTTTTACATTTGTTTTATTCATGACTGCTGTGAAGCCCAAAATGTACCAGACTTTGGTTTAAACCAGATGGTCAGACTCCTTGAACATCTCAACCATCAGTTCAATCATCACTGAGACTGTAATAGGCGGCGAGATGCAAATTGATAATTCCATGGTCAAACCTTGAGATCCAAGCTTTTTTTTTATCAGTTATTGTGGGGAAGCATAAACAGCATCTACTGGGTAGAGCAATAAAAAAAAAAATATTCAGACAGATTTCAGAGAAACTGGCCACTGAAGAGTACACACACAAAATGACATCATCAGAGCATCGACAACTGGGCGCTCACGGCCGTCCCATGGTCCCACGGCCCCACCCTTATTCATGCCCACATACTGAGGAACACACTGCCAATGGAGACACAAAACCAAATGCAGACCTCTGTACCACAAAGCATCATTCCATTGGCCGAACTTTGGACACAAAACCGAGTAAAGCTGTTGACTCTTCTTCTTTTTAAGTGTCTCACATTTAAATAATTACATTGCTTTGCTTCTACAAAGCAGAGACTCCTCTCTGAAGAGAGGCTGTCCCTGAACCCAAAATGCTTTGGTAATCAGATAGGCTCTTTGTTTATGGAAGAGATTCTTGCTGTGAAACATGGGAGGGGCTCGGCGTGATGGCTGGGTACGTCACAGGTTGGCCTGACTCTGCAGGATACAGCGACTTATGAAGATTACAAGGGGATTTCTGGAGCATGTTGTAGTGTTTGACTCATAGCTCTGGTTGTTATTCCTAAAGATAATAACCCAAAATATTTCATAGCAGCCCTTTAACGACAGTAAAAAGCTGTAATCCAGTTGGAGTTGGGCTTATGTTCAATTTTGCTAAACATATGGCTGTCACAGAACGAAGCAGACGCTTTGAGAAACACTTTAAGGAAGAAGGTCTTTGCATAACAGTTCAATATTTTTTTAGCACAGTATACTGATTCACAGAAAATGTCATTGAGTGCTGAGTTCTCACAAATCAAGGTTGTACTTCATACCAAGGCTATTCCTCAGAAATGTTATAAAATGACCAGGACTTCATCATTATTATAGTGCTCACAAAAACGTCAAATCAGCTTTAGATGTATGCATATTTGATCAACAAAGCCAACATGTAGAAACGTTGGTGCCCTTGTAGGAGCAGATTCTTGCAACAATGAATTTCACCTCAAAGGTTGGAGGCAGCGGTCTGCAGGCGTAAGGTCAACTGACACCAACCAGGCAACAGCTCAGCCTGTCTGCTCAAATATTTAACATCTGAAGCTCTGCTTTTGCAGAGGGGCTGGACTCCCTTGTGCACCGAGTTACTCTGGGAATCATGTTGGGAGTGTGTGGAAGTGCGATACCGCAGCAGAGTTCCCTTCCATAAACAAATGCCTAACACACAGGGGTGTAAATTAGCACCCCCCAGTGGCCAAATGCGGGTGTCGGTATGACGCAGTGTATGAATTTGAGCAGTGCACCCGCCACCGTGGTGGGTTGGCATTTTGAACAGGAAATGCCAACCCACCATTGGCATTTTGAACTCCTGTCCAATCTCATACAGGTGGCAGCCTGAGGCAGTCACAATTTAACAAAGTATATAAAAAAATCATTTTTATCAACCGGACGGACATTGGGCTTATCCAATGAAATTCCTCAGTGCTCACACAGGTGTGTGTGAGTGAGTCTGGCTGGAGGAAGCCAACGCGAAGCTCTCAGGCAGTCAGAAAAACACTGGACTAACAAAAGAAGGATGATGATAAACATAGAATTAATAATGAACACTTTTTTTGGATGTCTGTAATAAGAATTGTGAATTTAAATGGAAAACCTTAAAAGTTAGGAGGGGAAATAGAACGGTTAGGAAACAGCTATTAATACCATTTAAAAATATTTAAAAATGACAAGAGACACATCTTCACTATAGTATCTGTGGAAACTGGTGCCAAAATGTAGAAATGCTCAGCATAAGAAATTATTGCAAGAATGTTGGGGTTGTGTAGTTAAAGTTTTCTGTTAGTAATTATTTAAAGTAAATCATGGACACCTTAACAGAGGCGTAGTGCAATAAGTTTATGTTAAATTAGTCTGTATAAGTATATAGTATGGTAAATTGGTTTTCTTAGAGTTGAAAATAAATCATGTTTTATATACACTGAGCAAAAACATAAACGCCCCATGTCAAATGTAAGAGTTTTATGAACATTTGGGTTACTCAATGTATAGAGAAACTCAAAATATATTTTCAGTAATTACTGATCTTCATATTGGCATTGATAACTTCATGGTATGGCCATTTATAGCAGATTTGAAGATTGGGTGGCTTTTTATTGTCCAGTTCAAGGATTGTCCAGCTGTTTCTCATTTTGTCTGGTTACCCACTGGACATATCCCACCCATGCACGGAGTAAAAAACAACTCGCTGAGTAATGCTCACTGACCGCAAGTTGGATTAAAAATTATACACAATTCAAGAGAAATATTACTTTTGTACAATAAATGTCATTGTAATCGCACCATGTTGTGTGTTAAAGAATCAGTCTGATTTTTATTTGATGTGCTCACATTTGTCCTTTATTTTCTGAGCCAATACTCTCTTCTCTCTCTTCTCAAACAGCTCAACTACCAAGTCAAAGAAAAGAAGGTCCCTGGCCATCTCCAACCCCATCCCCTGCAACACGGCTTTCCCAGCTGACCATGTCTCCATCCATTCCTCCACCCAAAACGGCAAAGAGGCTGCTCCAACTTCCCCCGTCCAACAGACTCAAAGTGTTTCTGAAGAAGACACTGCCCCAGAGGAGAGAGCCGCCCCATCTGAAAGTGTCACTTCATCAGACTCGGATCTCAGCTCCAGCGGTGTGAATACACCCAAGAGGCAATCTGTGTGCGACAATGAGAACAGCAGCAAGAGCACACGCAATGAGAGTCCGGAGGACCTGGAGGCAGAGCTCGCCACCAATCAGTCGGATGACTCTGGACTCGGGGTGCCAAAGTCTGAGGCGGCGAATCAGGAACTGTCCAGCCCCTCTGATATGGCAGATGGCGATGATGTGCAAAGTCTCGACCAGAGCCCTGTGGACGATCAGTCATCAGAGGAGGCCAAACCCGAACCTCCGCCTGTTCCGGCTCCCCGCCACTCCTTCCACTCCACAGACCAACAGCCTCTGCTACCTGCCGAAGGGGAGCATCAGATGGAAACATCAGACAATCCAGAGACCGCAGAGGAGAGAGATGACTTGAGTTCTCAGAATCCACCTGGCTTTCTCTACAAGGTCTACATCACTGCTGTCCAGTGGCAACACAAAATTAAACTTGTTACTTTTCTCCATGTTCTCCCAAAAAATATCCGAGTCCAAAATCAGACCCATTGTAAAAGAGGAGAGAATTTATTTTTTTTTTTTTTTTTTTTTTTTAAATTAAGAAGTTGCATATACTCTCTATTGGATAGTAAAACACCCCATAGAGGACTGGAGGCATTCCTTCACAAGCAACTCTCAAATGCACCATGGTCTATTTTGTATAAAATCACATTGATAACAAATGTTAATTTAAAGTTGTACATGCACCTTAAAGATCCCCAATGAAAACATGTTTATAGGTTCTTAACCATTTGGAGCAGAAAACGGGTTGAAAGTTGATCTCTTAACTGTATGGTGATGTTTGTTGGTGTCACTGGAGATGGGACTGCACATTAATATGGCCATTTATTAATAATTCAGACTAACAGACAACCAAAACAGAAAACGATATTACCCCATGAAAATAACTCAAAAATAGTTCTAATAATGTCTTACAGAAAGTTTCTGTCATGTTTGTATTAGAGCAGGAATGGAAAGCCCACATTTGAACTGTTATGTTTGTGGTGCATTTATGGCCCCCAAAAATGAGATAAAACTCTATATAACTCCGAGATATTAAGAGAAATGGAAACCCTTACAAAAACTTTATTCTGTAGCAGAAGGACTTTAGTTTTTAAAATACCAAATACATTATTGCAAGGGAACAAAAGAATTCCTGTGAACAGGAAAATGTTCTTGTTTATTGAGTTGGAATTGAAAATCTGTCACTTTTGAACAAAAAATGAAACTATCTTATTTTCCTCCAGGCGGTGGCGACAGAGAGCAATGAATCCTCTGAAGAAGGCCAGCTGCAGTTTGAACAAGGAGACGTCATCCTGGTGCTAGCTGACACCCAAGAAGTTGGTCTCTCTCTCTTTCTTTGTGTGTGTGTGTGTGTGTGTGTGTGTGTGTGTGTGTGTGCGCTCTCACAGAGCATATCTCGCCTTACATCATGCTGCTGCTCACATTGAGGATGACACCCTTCCTGTAAACTTTTGACCTAACAAGTAATTTCAGATACATTATGGAAACTTTTTAGCCTTCAGTTGTAAGCATTCAGCCTTTTTTTTTTTTTTTTCCTCTTTTCATCATATGCTAGTGAGGAGTTTTTGCCATTTTCTCAGAATAATTTTTACTGCAAATAAAATCAACAAGAAAAAAATGTATTTAGATCCTAATTAATTTTTTAGACAATCCAGCTCCTCTGTTTACCATCGTAAGTTCAACAGAAACTGGATCAGTTCCTGGTTCCTTTCCCTCTTCTACACATTTTGTCATGTTACAGCCACAAACCTTTATGTATTTTTGGAATGTTGTGTGATGGAGCAGTACAAAGTAGTGTGTAATTGTAAAGTGGAATGAAAATCTTCTTTTCCTTTCAACTTCTCCCTCTAGGGGTCGCCACAGTGAGTCATCTGTCTACATGTAACCCTGTCTTGTGCATCTTCTTCTCTCACACCAACTATCTTCATGTTCTCTTACACTCCATCCATAAATCTGCTCTCTGGTCTTCCTCTTTGTCGGTTCCATCCTCAGCATCCTTCTGCTGATGTATTTCCTCTGTACATGTCCAAACCATCTCAGTCTGGCTTCTCAGACTTTACCGCTAACATCTGACACGAGCTGTCAGTCAGATGCTGACTGACAGCTCCATTTTTGTCACCTCCAAAGAGAACCTCTTGTCATCAAACTATACTGCTACTCACAGATGCCCACTTCTAACCTCAGGCTTCCTTTAACAACTCTTTCTCATAACTTCATTGATTGACTCATCAACTTTCTACCTCTGTAGACTTCCCCCTTGTTCTTGAAAATTGGCACCAGCACACTTCTCCTCCGTTCTTCAGACATCTCCTCTCTCTCATTGAACACTAGTTAAAAACTCACTGTTGTCTCTCCTGGACTCTTCCACTCCTCCACAGGTATATCTGCCTTTCTACTCTTCATCGTTTTCCATGTCTTTCCTGCTTCATCCTTACTAAACTTTACTTCCTGATCCACATTAGCTGCTTCGTCTCCTTTTTGTTCTTTCATTTTCTTCAATCTATCAACTTTTTAAAGTACTCCATCCATCTTACTTTAACACTTTTTGAATGTGTCAACAATTTCATCTTGATTCTTAATCCCCTTCACCTGTTGGTCATCCTTCCTGTCTCCATCTCTTGCCAACCTATATAAATCATCCTCTCCCTCCTGACTGTCCACCCTGTTATCAGAGTCAGTGTTTGTTTGGCCTGAGCTTCCTCTACCTTCACTTTATGCTGATGTCCCTGTACTCCTGGTGACTCTTCAGGCCTCACATTGTCCCACTTCTTCTATGTTGCTCTTTCTCTTCATCTCGTTATATTTTGTTTTTTCTTTTCTCTCTTTCTAACAAAAACTGGATGACAAAAGTCTTCAGTTTGGTTCTTTGGTCTGAACTAGGCTAGCCCTTTTATTGAAAGATAAGTTTGTTTAGAGATTGTATAACTCATTTTACTATTTTTGTGTTGTTTTCATTTCTTTTGGATTTTCAAAAAATCTCTTCCAGTTCCATAGTCAAATGTTCATTTAGAATTTAAAGTTTATAGATCTTTGAGGACATGCACTTGCATTATAATACCATTCCCATTATTTTACTTGAAAATGATCTCAAAGTTTATCGATTATCACAATAACTTCTGGGACAGTTTATTGTCCAGCATAATTTATCATAATGGTCGAAGAAGTGGTTGTGGGTGTGTATTGTATGCACAGTGGGTGTGTGATCTAAGCTGTGTTTTCCATCTGTTTGTGTCTGGCAGCTGGACGGCCTGCTGATGGGGATCAGGGAGGAGAGCTGGAAGCAGCATCAGGATCTGGACCACCACTCTGGGATCTTCTCAGGAAGCCTGGTCGGGCCGCTGCAGGCGGACTGAGGCCGCCGGCCCTCTGACGTTTCTCCTTCCTCTGAGCTGATACTGGGTCACATGATGATGATGCAACCTGTGGAACAAACGGGACCAAGCTGATGAACATTACATAAGTGTTGTTTGAAAATGTTTCAGTATTTTCACCTCTTTATGTTTTTACAAGATTTCTACAAGCCACTGTGAAACGATCTTTGAAAGCTGTGTTTTTAATATTTTACAAAAAAAAATCAATAAAGTTCTAAATGATGGGGGAAGGTTGTTTTTTTTAAGTAAGACCTGGGTTAATACACCAATGGATTTATGTGCTGCTATATAAATGGTGGATTTTTACAAACTAACTGAAATTATGTGCACTGTAAACACAGACACCTGCAGCTCATCACCATTTGCCAAGGATGTGAAAATATTCTAAAACTCTGGAAACACACAGGGGGGAAAAAGACAGCTGAACTATAAAAGCTGAACAAAGAAAGATTGAGCTAAAAATTTGTTGGACAAAAAAAAGCCAAATTTTGTTGAAAGCAATAAAAAAAAAGTAAAACATCCACCTGTGTGAGTGCTTTGCATGCATATTTGTCTTTGTAAAGAAAACCATGTTTCATTTTTCTTAATTATGACAGTTTTTGTTTTCTGATTGTTTTATTACACAAATCTTCAATAAAGAACATTAAAGATTTAGGTGGTTGCCTGAAGAGAGAAAAAAAAACATTCAGCCCAGGACACATTTGTTAATAAGATGGTTTTACTCTGGCTAGAAGAAAAAAGACCAAGTTTTAAAAAGTGAACTGAACATTTACAAGCCATAGAATTTTGAAACAAAGCCAACTTGTTCAGTTGAGCTAAACCTGGGGTGCTCAGAGTGCGGCCCAGGGGCGTCTATGGTCCCCTGAAGTATTTTGTTCGGCCCCTGACCACCATCCTGGATGGAGCAAAGTTGATTCAGATGGACACTTTATTTTTACCATTTATTTTCAGAGACAGACACTGTAGGACTGCGTTTGTATTGGGAATTCACATGGAAAAAAAAACAACATAATTATAAACCCATAACTATCAATGAAGGATGATGAAAGATGGATATTCAGGGAGAGGTGAGAGGTCCAAGGTAAAAACAGTTATATTTATCTTGACAGCATGTCCGCTGATCCCTAATAAGTCTTACATTTATGCATCAAATTAAGGCCTTAAAATGACTTAAATTCCTTTCAAAAACCAAGTTGGCCTGAATATATTGATCATAGGTCTTAAATTTTCTTTTGGCAGGATTATTTTATTTGTAGTATATTCTATGTAGTTTTGTTTTCTCGTCTTTTTTGCTTTCTGTGACTCACTGGTTCTAGCTAACTAGCTGTTGTATTGTCTACCTTATGTGAGTTAAAGTTTGTTGGCAGTTATCTGGATGAAGTTATTACGTTTCTTTGGACATGCAGGTCTTAAATTCCATAAGTATTGACCTTAAAAAGTCTTAGATTTGAGTTGGTGAAACCTGCATAAACCCTGCGGTAGAACAACCCGATGGTGAAAAACCTTTTTATGTTTTAATCTATGATGGTTTACAGATCCTATTTCTGCAAAAATTCTTTGTTTGAATAAAATCCTGCGTGGTTAGTCTATTATTGAGCAGATTAATGTTTATTTTTAAAATTCTCTTGTGAAAAAAAAAAGGATTATGCTCCCTCCCCCTCAAGTTCTTTCAACGTCACAATTTTGGAGCATGTGGCAAAAAGTTTGGACACTTCTGATCCTAACAGCTGGTGATCCGTTTGTTTTGTTTGTTTGTTTTATCAGGGGGCTTATGCATAATTCATAGACATGCACAGCCATGAAGAGATTAATGCTAAAAAGGAGATATTCTCAGTGGAGCACTCTGGGCTTTGCTCCAGTATGAATCTAATTTATTGTTACTTATCCTGTATTTTTTTCAGAGCGGGGCCCTAACTGGGTGAGGACATGTCAGAGGCTTGTTTCCTCCCTGCTGACCTTGCGCTGCTCTGCTCTGCGCTGCTCTGCTTGTTTGCAGTGTGAGTTTTCCTTCGGGCTCCTCTGAGGTCACTTGGGGCTCCATGCTGCCATGACGCAGCTCCATCAGTACGCAGCTTTAACGTGAAGAGGCACATGGTGGATAAACAGAAAAAGCTCCTATCAGCTATAGTCTCAACCCCTGCACGGTCGCATTTTTAGAGTCCATTCTGTGTAAACACCCTGAGGTGATATAAAAAGTGATTTAATCTTCCATTTCACATCTCTTAAACAAGCCTCTGGCAGCAGTGTTACAAAGTGCCTCACACCGGAGACTGCAGGAGAACAAGTTGCTCTCTGTGGAAATGAACAGAGGAAATGTTTAATATGTGTTTCTTTCTGTAATGATATTCCTCCACACCGTGGGCAGAGACACGACCGGTCAGGGCGAGGTCATGTCGCAGTTAGAAAAACAACATTAGCAGGAATGGACGTGTGTGCAGCTCAGTGCTTCTGGGAGCTAACACAGTTCATCTTCTACCTGAAGAACTGACGCTAAAGCTAACATGACTGTTGACTGGTTCTGCTAGTGTTTACTGTTTTAAAGGGGAAGTATTATATAAAATTGACTTTTTTGAGCATTACATCCTATTATTTTATTATTAAAGGTATTAAAACATACCTGGAGTGTTGCCTTGATTGTTTTTATGCATGTTTGAGAAATCCTTTAATCTCCCGTGGCAACCATGCAACTGTGCAAAATACCTGGTTGACCCTAGCTCCTCCTGGGAGCTGCAATTCCCAAGCTTCCAAGTTTCCACATTACAGAAGAGTCCTCTCTACTCAGCTCCTTCAGACTAGCCAGCAGCAATTAGCAAACACCTGTTAGAGCTGTGCATCTTCTGAGCTCATTAAATTAGCTATTTCTCAGTCCAATGCAGGTAAAAATGTTGTTAAAGGGTTAATAGAGGAGCTATGTTGTTGTGACTTCCTGAAGGCAGAGTTTCAATAAGAGCAGGCATTTCTTAAAGAGAGATGCCTAATTTCAAGACATTAAATTATGAAGTTAAATTTCATTGAAGTCATATTTGATATATGAAGCATTTTTATAACAACTGATGTTAACATAGTTATTTGATTGTGCTACAAAATAGCACTATGTGACTGGTTCTAACACATTTAGTACATTCCTGGTCGTTTCTTATACCAGTTAGTTCAGGGTTAGTTCAGATCTTTCAAAGGTGAGTTTTGGTGGAGTTGTCAGCAATAATCCGCTTAGCAGTAGACAGATGTTGGCATGTTGTTGGAATATTAAATACATTTTCAAAGTGGAGGAAGGCTAACAAGCTGGTTCACCCTTTTTTCACCTTCATCTAAAAACAATCTAGAAACTACATTTTGTGTTGTCTTTGACTAATATTTAAATTGGTTTGATGCTCCGAAACACTAAAATGTCAAAAACGTGCAAAGGAAATTTGAAAATCAGAAACTAGAACTAAATACAGCTGATCTGAAATGGTCACACATTATTTCCTTTTCTAAAGAAAGCAACAGATTAATGTAGAGTTTTAAGAATATTTTCAATCTAAAGGAATATTTCTGCAGTATTTCCTCTTAAATTCAAATTGTGTAGAATCCCAAAACCAGTGCGACCTGTAGAAAGAAAGATGAATTAGTAAACTAATTCAATAATCTGAAAAGTAATTAGATTTTCAGTTTTTTGTCTTTTAAAGGAGTAAATACTCTTTTGCTGGATTGTATTGTACACGGCTTTTGTTTTGTTGTGAGCTTAGAAAACTATAATTATTTTTATTTCTAGAAAAGTAAAACTGTTTCTCATGCTGTGATTATTAGAAAAAAAGAACCTTCCTTGTGTAGAACAAGCCAGATTAGATCATTACAGATAGAAGAATGAGTACAGGCTTCCCCGTTCGCTTTAGTTTAAACATGCGCTCTCTCCTTCTTCCCACGTTTTTGGCTAATTAAGTAATTAAGAGCCACATTGGGCCCCAGAGATGCAGTTCACAGAACCCTAGCCTGTTGTCATGGGTCCACACATGAGCAATTTCAGGGTTTTTTTAAATATCCACACGATGACTTTAGAAAGTACTCAGCAGAATCACCCCTCCCCCCCAAAACTCCCACATTAGTAACCACGTCGCTATTTTAATTGTGATAATCATGTGGCTTCCTGCGTGTTTGGGTGGCCCTGTGTATGTTTGTAAGTGTGCAGGGAAGAGTCCTCCATTATGAACCAACAGCAGCCTGACTCATACGAAGTGTGTATCTCTTATCGCCCCTTTTTCTGACATAACACAGACATGTTCTCTGTGTGTGTGTGTGTGCGTGCAGGTGTGTGCATGTGTGTGTGTGTGTTGGAGGGTAACTTTTGGCAGTCTGTGGTGGTTTTGGCTGTGAAATGTTCTAATTTTCTCAACATGGCTGGCTCCATGGCTATTGGAGAATGAAACCTTTAAACTTTACAAGCGCCCGTGTGGAAAAGTAACTGCAGCCAAGCTGAAGAGGTGTTTCGGGGAGCTTCTGTTACTCAGACCTTTCCAATTAGCTAGCTAATGTAACTGGAAAAGCAGCCATTAAGCTTTTCTGCAGTTTCACAGCCGTCCTCAGCCAGAAACGTACTGGTTTTCCACAGGCCGGTGCCAAATCTGTTAAGATCACCCGATGCTCATTTCCTCTCCTCATTTCGTCTTTGAAAATTAGCTGAAAAGATCCAGTGCAGCCCATAGGGTCCATACGTCAGATGGGAATATAACTTCCTGTCTCCATGTTTCAAGTTGGTACACTTGTTTATTAGCTTACTCCGGCTGACTGGGATTAATCATTACAAAGTAATCTTTCTGAAATGCAGGATAGCATCCATCTTTATAACCTCTGCTGCTGAGTTTGTTCCAGTTTGTTTTCTGTTATCAAAAAATGGTAAAAACAAATGTCTCATTTGAGCTTGATGCGCATTTCCTGGTTCAGAAAAGCAACAGTCGATTTAGAGCAGGGCATGTGTTTGCATCTGATAAGTTATTTTAAAAGCACAGCTGGGATTTTACAGCACTCCGCTGACAATTGGCCACCGTAATTTGACATATTTCAGGATGCAGAGCCACACCACAGGAAGGGACGGTTCAGAAGTTAACCAAATAGTAGATACCACAGAAAAACAAATATTTCGTAGGGTAAAGAGGACCTCTCCCCAAGTTCCTTCATGTTTTTAAAAATCTCCAAATAAAACTATTCAGACACCATTCATCTAGTTTACATAATTAAAGTGTTTAATTGCAGG